CCGGTTGCCTAGGCCGGGGTGTAACAATGTGTTTTGTCCTGTCTTCCTCTCCTCACCCCATATGGTCACGCCAGATGGCCACCCTTCCCTGAACCTGGCTCTTATGGACGTTTCTTCCTGTTAAAGCAAAGTTTTTAATTCCCAATGTTGCCAAAGCACTTGCTCATAGGGGGTTATATGACTGTTAGGGTTCTCTCTGTTTTCTTTTAATTATCTTAGGGTTTCACCTAACAATTTAAGCACCTTGAGGAAACTGTTGTTGTGATTTAGTGCTAAATAAATAAAACCTAATTTAAAATTAAATCGAATGAGTCCGAATAGAATAAAACACAGACCCTCTAAAAATTTGGTTAAAAACTTTTCTTTTAAATGAAGCATATAATTAGGGCTGGATCAGGTGACCTGAATTCTTTTGTTGTGCTGTTATCTGCCTCTTAAGTCTGATGTCATTAGCCATTTCCTTGTACAAATTCTATTTCAGTTCCCAAACTTAAACAAATATCTTCTGTGGAATGTGAGGAATGTGCATATTTGATCTGTCTCCAAGAAACGGTACAACTTATTTGAGGGAATAATTTGCTCCCATGCTCCCTGTTTCTCATGAAAGAAATGTCAATGCTTTGGAGGGGGAGATGAGTAAGTACATGCATATTTGGCATTTAATGACAAAGAACAAAGGACACTTTTTAAACCGTGTGAAACACTGCTAAAATCACAGCGAATGTCAGTCTGGCGAGGGCAGACTGTAGGGGTTGACAAAAGGACCCGAAACGCAGACTCCAAGGAACAGGGAACAGAACTTGAAATGTTAACAAAAAGCGAGCCATTTAATATGGCTGGTAAAAAAGGTACAAACAAAGGGCAAGGCAAACTGAAGCAAAATTAACACAAACCTAAACTGGGAAATCTAAACAAACAATAAGAAAAACCTAGACAAGAAACTTGGAAGCGAAGCATGGCATGGCATGGCATAGGAAACATGGCGTGGACAACAGACAACCTGACAATGACACACTGAAAACGGAGGACTTAAATACACACAGGAGGATAATGAGGGAAGTGGGAACACATGAAGAAACAGCTGACACACATGAACATAACGACGTCACAAGGAGAGAGTAACACTAAAAACATTGAATATAGGAACACAGGACCCCTTCAAAATAAAACAGGAAATATAATGAGACGCAGACATGACAACATAAGACACACAGACATGAAACACACGAAGGGCAAGGGAGACTTCACAGGGGTTGAAAACACAAGGGGGAACTAATAAGCAAATGAACATAGGAAACCTAATAAGCATAAACATACACTATAAACATCAAAAGAACTAAAACTCAAAACACTGGGTCATAAGACCCAGGATCGTGACAGCGAACTTTTACACTTTGTATTTTAGTCATAGTTTACTACAATCTCGTGATGTTTAGTTGACTAAAAATAGGCTTCCAAATTCTTTTACTTTTAGTCTAACTAATAACTAAACGTAAATGACAAGACAACAGACTGATTAAAACAAAGTCAAGATTTGCTGTCAAAATTAACACTGGACTTCCAGTGTTAATGACCCATAGAGCCTTTGGTTTAACATAACTACTGTATAATAACTTGCACGAGGGAAAACAGAAAATAACACATTTGCTCAGGAAACGGCTCTGTTTGTTTGTTTGTTCTTGAATTGCAAGTTAGGTTGGGGCAGGTTTACTAATTTGTCTTTGCTTGCATACTTTCTAGTCAATCATCCCCCCCCCCCCAAGACTGCCCCCCTTAAGACTGATTTGTACAGTGACTCAAACTGCATCAACTTTCATTAGACTGGTCCCACACAGTGTTACATGCAGTTAAGTCCTGAACTGACCTGCAGATACACCAAAGTCCTTGAAACAACAGGATGAATCCTTTGATTGTATCTCCACGCTTTCCTCATTTGAACAGCAGCACTGAGTCTCTGTGTCATACTGGTTGTGACCACAGCACTGGTGGTGACTGGAATTCCTCATCAGAATCATCTTGCTCTCATTCGGACCACAGCACAACTGCTTGTCCTTATCATAAGCCTCTGTGGAAAAGACCATGGTGATTCATTATATTTCTACCTCCTACAAATGTTGTACTACTGAATTATTCTACTGAATAAGCAATTGCACTACATTAAA